CACCCCTGTTTTGAGAGAAATCTTCTGCATCCGTGGATGTTTTGTTGCCCTTGTCTAGCTTGGATTAATACTTAGTCTATAGGCACACACCTGATCATCTGTTTGCCCTCTTACAGCACTAAACTATGTTTTCTACCTTTATCTTGCATCTACCTACCACTTCAGCATTTTATTAAAAATAAAAAAAATAATAATAATAAAGGGAGAAATGTGGGATTCACATATAAATCAAGTATAAAAATCAAATGAATATTCATATTTGACCTGATTGTTTATAGTTCATAATGCGTGATCAAAACCGAAAGTTTCTGTGATGACTGCCCTTGTACTGTTCACCACGTTAGAACTTATTCACTATGTAAGAATTCGTTCACCATGTAAGAACTTGTTCGTTATGCTTCAGAAGATTGGAGACTGTTGAGAATTAGGCTTGGTGTGGATTAATGATTGAGCATTGACTCCCCTATACAGAATTTTATTGCTGTTAACAACCATTTGATCAATAAATATGAGAGATGCCCTGTTAAAAAAAAAAAAAGAATCTGTCAAATATATAAATAAAAAATACTTTATCATAAAGGCAAATAACCAGCCATTAGTGCCATGCCACTCAAAATGTTCACAGTGACATTAAAACCAACACTGAATGTATCCAAAGTTAATTAGAATATTCTGCACTCAAAAACACAGATTATCTATAATGAATTTGAAGCATGGAATATAAAACGATTAAATGATCAACATTATATGTTTGGTCAGCCATGAGGTATTGATTGTCCCCACATGAAACACTATAAACTTTCTTCTAGACTCTTTAGAAAATTCTGTAGTCTGTGCTTGAGGACGCACAGACGTACACTGCCTGTGGTGCCTGGGAGAGGCTCTGAGCAAAGCCATGACTGGAGGACTTGCAGGTAACCATATTTATTACATTATATAAATTTAATCAATAGAAGGACTCTTCTCAAAGTTAAGGGAAAAAGCTTCTCTTACATAAATTTTTTCCAGAAAGTGGGTCCACACTGGAAAAAGATAATCTCTCTCAAGTTTTACAAAAGTTCTTTAAGCTTCATAGTGAAGCCTAGGTAGGAGTACATTATTAGATTTCCCCATTTCCAGAATAAACATCTAAATTAATAATTGAACACTTTGGGCTAAGAAATTAGCCTAAATGAGAGTCAGCAAAATGTCAGAAATGGGTATGTACATGGCAAACCTTAGTCAGGGTCCTTGGAACATGTATTTAACCTCCTGCAGTAAACCATCAATATGTAAAGTAATAGGATGACAAAAATTCTATGTATCAATATGCTAGACTAAACTTTTGATCTGTTTATTTAAAAAGAATGTTTTCCTATGCTCCTGTAATCTAATAATTTAGTCACCCAACCCCATACCTGCCCTAAATGACATTATCAATATGAAATGGATTTGCATCTCCTGTTCCAAGAAAAGCACAGGGTATGAGTGTATTATGCAAAATATAACAGCAATGAAACAGGAGTTGTAAACAGAGAAAGCAGCAATAACTGTGGGACATGGGCAGTCACATTGGTGAGGCTGAGGCTGGAGGGAAGAACAGGAATGCTTGAGGATGCACAGACGTACACTGCCTGTGGTGCCTGGGAGAGGCTCTGAGCAAAGCCAGTGGGAGAGGTGAACTGTGCAAGCAGGTGCTGGGAGGGACTGGGTGCAGGGTGTGGTGCCACGTATGACAAAGGGCAGGGTGCTGGAGGCTGGAGGAACAAGCTCTTTGAATGAGAACGTTATATATGAATGGGAGAGGTGAACTGTGCAAGCAGGTGCTGGGAGGGACTGGGTGCAGGGTGTGGTGCCACGTATGACAAAGGGCAGGGTGCTGGAGGCTGGAGGAACAAGCTCTTTGAATGAGAACGTTATATATGAAACTGAATCACCTTGCTCAACGAGCAAGCTGTTCCTTTCCAGTTACGGGGAGACGATGCCACGGATGGTGCAGAGATCTTCCTACAGCCTGAATTCATGCCATGAGTGTATTCTTGATACCAGAGGACTCAACAATCATCCATCCCCATGGCTATGGATAGGCTGCACTGTGCTCATCTGTTCACTTGGTCTGGCTAGACATCTCTCTGACAAAAGTCATTCAACACTCTTTTCTCTAAAGAATTTTAGTTTTCTTTATAAAAAGAACAAAGAGCAGTATACCCTTGTACATTCAAACTGCAATGCCTACCACAATGTGTATTTTAAAAATTACTTGTTTTCTAAGCAAGAAAAGGACGTTCACAGTTCAAACAATCCTACTGCTCCCATGTATAAAAATTTACAAGTTTCTACCAATTAACAATTGACATAGCCATAAATTACTCAGAAAAGGTAAAATTCATTTAAATGACAGCTCATAGTTCAGGATATAAAAGAAAATTTGATTTTTTTTTACGGTCTCCAAAATTTTTCTTTTGAATGTAACATTTTGGGGACAGTATAAGTATTTTTAGTAATTTTATCTCATTAGGGACATCAGAAGTAATTTTGTATATAGTAACTTGGTATGAGTAATTTTCCAGAGTTCTGAAAAAATAAAGCATCTTGTATATTTATACCAACACTCTCCAATTCTCAATAACTGGAACGAAAAAGTTTTAAAATATACACTTACCTCCACATCACAGGTATATTCTGATCCATCCAGAAGTATCACTTTGCACTGCATGCTTTTGGGCTTTTTGACAATCTTTAATGGGGACCGAGATAGTTTACTGCTAGATGATTTCTGAGAAAGTTTATCGTCTTCAAATTGTTGATACTCGAGCTGTTTCACTGCTCCAGCAGCAAACTCCTGACCCTTGTCGGTGACCTGGGAAGAACAAACAATGGACAGTTTTCACTGCTGAAAAGACAGGAAATGAATATTGCATTGCTCAGGCAGTAACAGAACACTTTAGAAACAGGCTTTCCGATTTCCTAGAGGATGAGAGATGTCTGAATTAGGATACTAGGGATGGGTATATATATATATATAATATCCTCTATATATATATAGGAAATTTATAATGCTAGTAACAGTCTCACTTAAGTAATTTTTGCTATTTAAATGTACCGATAGGCCTTACTCCAGTGTGACTCAAGGATTCAGTTTAGAAACACTGAATTAGCAAATGTCATTGAGTTCACCAAGCAAAGGAGGATACCAATGAATTGACTTTTTAAAAGGGCTTAGATAGTACAGGTCTTTAAAATAAATCACTCAGATTTTACCTGCTGTACTCTATTTTCTTCACTTACTGGATGCACCCTTCTACATTCTCTGACCCAAAACCACCCCATATACATATAAGGTATCTTATGAACTTTAAGATCTAGAGAGCTTTAAGAATTAATCTCAGTAGTTTTATAATGGGTAAAATACTTGATTTAGCTCTCAGTCAACTCACTGAAGCCAGCAGCACTGAAATTCATCACAAAGTAATCCCCTAAATCTGCTTCTTCTCTTTGTAATGAGCCAGTATAAGAACAGATCAAATCTGTCTGAAAGCTTTAATCTGCTTTCAAATCACAACAGTCTAGTCCAGGGTAGACTCAAATACACAGAGGAGTCCCATGTAGCTATCACATTCTACCTTGAATCCATCTACTTGGCAATCTCTGTGAACTGCTGTCCAAAACTGCTCTTTTTAACCCCTCTTCTATCTATTAAATAACCATCCATGGTATTAGCATAAATTGAACTCATGGGCCAGGTATCTGTTTCCACTGGTCTACAAATATGCAATAACAGTTCAAAGAAAGGTATGTTCCAAAATTCAGTGTAGGCCCCTTTGAATAAGCATGACATTTTCTCTCTCTACATGCTATCATCCTTGGCTTTAGAGGAAATGCAGTTGTAGGGAAAATGGAAGTTCCATGGCCAGGATCCTCACCTGATACCCACTGTGTACATGGGATGAGGTAATACTTAGCCTACTGTGCAGGTGCATGCTTGCATACCCACTGGCAATAACCTTTACCGTCGACATTGCTGTAAGAAGAGTTCCACCTAGTGCTAAGGGCAGAGGGAAGCAGCAGAGAGGAGAGCAGAGCCTGGGACGGAGGCTGAGCCGGGGGCAGAGACAGAGGCAGACCAGATTCTAGTATTCATCCTATCGCTGTGAGAATAAGGCTTGGTGTGAACCCCTTTTTTACCCCCAACATCCTGCTGTCACGGGATCCATAGTGAACCTGCCCAGGCTGAAACCTTCAGGCGAGACCACAGTATTGGCAGTTTATCATTTTAACTTTTCTTTTTACGCCCTCCACAATTTTACAACATTAATATAATCACTATGTTACTTTTCAGTACATGTATTTCGGGTTTTAGGTATAGATTTCTGGTTCAACAATGGCATTTTCCAGCTTGTTTTCCATCTAGAAAATTAGAAATACAGTCCTTTGCTCTACTATCTGGCCCAGGAATTCAAGGCAAAGTCTTGGAGAAGTTTGTAAGAATAAACAAACACCAATTTGCTGAGCAAAGAAACCAAGGAAAACCTAAATAACCAACTTCAAAGGCCAAAATAGTTGAGAAGGGAAGATTCAGCTAAAACAAGTAAATAAAAGAAAACCAACTCTGGCAATCCGGTTCACTTTTTTCTGACTTTTAGTCTTTTCATACCAAATAATTAAATAGTAAGTTTTTGTCCTTAAAAGACATTTGGGACAGTGACTGTGAATGGGGATGTGGGGGGACTTGGTGAAGGGGGGAGCCTAGTAAACATAATGTCCTTCATGTAATTGTAGATTAATGATACCAAAATAAAAAAAAAATTTGGTAAACTTGGAATTTTATACTTTTAATTCACTTCTATACTTTTGATTCACATTTTCATCTCATTACAGGCAAAATCAACAGAAGCTACATTTTTATTTAAATTTTACCTGGAATCAACTTTTTCTATGTATTAGGGAAGCTACTTCTCATACAGATACTTTTATTTTCATAGAGGAACCCCTACGAAAATAAAAGTATCTGTACCAGAAGTAGCTTTCTGGGTTCCTTCTATGTCAACTCAGGAAGCATCTGAAACCACCAGTGTTCAAGGGGAGGTGTCAATTCCAGAATACTCAGAACAGGAATCCACCATTGAGGCTCTTAGGCACATTTTTAAAACTTAACAGCTCTGGAAGAGCAGGCCAAGTACCTCAAATGGCAACTATGGTCATATAATGCATTACAATTCAAAAATACCACTGTCAACCATTTTAGTAAATCCCTATTTCATTTAATCCCCTAATAGCCCTAGGAGGCAGCTATCATCACCCTTCTTTACATGGGAGGGGAAAGAGGGCCAGGGCACAAGCTTGACACATGTTCTCAAGGACGCAAAACTAATAAACTGGAATTCAAGTCCAACCAAAGCCCATGTTGCAATCATCACTAAATACCAAAATGTGCTTCGTTTTACCTCAAACTAACTTGGACTTCCTAGTATGCTTCAGAGAATTTCTGAGTGGAAGAATCTTAGAAAATTATCTTTCCTGGTCTTTCATTTTGTAAATAAGGATGGTAAGGCTCAGAGAACTTGAATGAGCTTTTCAAGATGACTGAAGTAACCAGGCTAAGAGACAAGACCAACTGAGCTCTCCGGATTTTGCAGGCAGTCATCTTTCCCTCTAAGGGCTTAGTATCATGTTTCCTGTTCTGTGTCAAATGTCTGACTACATAAGATAAAGTGTACTATAGTCATGTCTGGGTATAGAAACTCGTCCCTGTCTACATTTATCCCCCACTTTCATGTTTATTTCATTTCAGAGTTAAGAGGGAAGAGTGGAGAAAAATCCAGTCTAGTAATGTTAAATTTCTGTAGATTTACAAAAGACTAAAAGCATCACATTCCCCCCTCAAAAAAAAGACAAAAACCATGACAACAACTTAGATTTCATTTAACAGGCTGGAAGGATAAACCCCAGCTGCCCATCACAAAAATGATTAGATCAGACAGAGCAGAGTCTATTTATAAAGCATGAAAATAATAGGGAATGCCATGGCAAAAGAAATAAAACAATAAGCTTGTAAACATAGTTTAGTGTAATAATACTGTGTAGTACCTTCCAAAGAATTTGACTAACATGCTGATTTCTTATCTCTTCTCTCAACATCTTCTAGAATTTCTAGCTCAACACATACACTTCCACACTGTAAAAGGTCAGTCATTTGCAGGGACTCCCAGATTTCCTTACCACATGAGTTGGTCCTCTAAAACATGTTAATTCCAGGTTTGAAGTTTTAAATATGGATTCATTCAAGACCCAGGTAGACAGTACACTTTGTATTCTGTATGAAAACTTTAAAAATAAGTATTTGCCCTGCATGTGTCAACTTAAGCACATCTAGGGAATAGAGTTGAAAATGAACATGTAGAAGAGGGAAAGAGACCCACTTGAATATCCACTAAAAGCAGCTGGCCACATTAGGGTCAGAGGGACCACTGGGAAATATCAAAATAGCTTGAACCTCTAGGCTTGAAGAAAAATCAGGAGCATAATTAAAACCAGGAGTGTGGTATCTCTTCTTCCTGCAAACCCAGATAAAACCGATAACCTGCAGTCCAGATTTCCCTGTGAGTTCAAGTGCTTTAATCAAATGAAGGAGTTACCAAGCAAACTGTGGAATGTCATTCACTGAGAGCTTTAAAACAGCATAAATTTTCATCTGCCTGGCCAGAAGGGGTGAAGCTGTGACCCCTCATAGTTCCCTCCGGGGCTACCAGACCAAGGTCAGAGAAGATCTGGGGAAGCCCGATAAACATGCTTCTGGCGGAAGCTGGCAGGTGTAGCGAAGCAGACGGCCGCACGGGTCGCGCGGCTCACCTCCTTCCTGACTGGGGTGCTGTGCGCCGCCGCGCCCTCGAACTGCTCCAGGGCCTGTCGCTGCTCCTCGCCGCCCGGCTCCGTTCCTGGACCTGGCTGAGCCCCCGCGCGCCCCTGCGGGCCCGCCGCCTCCTGGGGCTCGGCCTCCTGCTCCGGTTTGGATTCCGAGTCTGAACCGGATTCAGTCGTCATGGTTGATTGTTCTGCAAGCAGAAAAAACGGAAGGTGCCATCACTCAGTGCAATTCCCTTCCCCAGGCAAGAAAGCTAGGATGCTACACGTGGAAAGGCTGCAGAGAACCATGATATAAAGGATGGAAGCAGCGACCAAGCAGAGCACCATTCAGTGGCACACACCTGACAGACGACTCATTAAATTACCCCAAAGATGGGTGCCCTGAATGGGTCAAAATGAATATTTAACTAGAAGTGAAAGTTGATCTGTAATATCACAGGTTTTATTCCTATTGGAATTTTGTCACAGATTATTAAAATGACATCAGTCTCCTAATTATTACATAAATTACATACATTTGATGTCAGAAAAATGAGTTTGCTACATCAGCTGGATATGTATTTTAATCTCTGGGAAGGATGATCTAATTAATAATGGAAGCAAGTATTTTTTCTCATTCCCTTTCCTCTTATCTCTCTCTACACAGGGGCTCTGCTCTGCCTCTCCAAACCCCTGAATGTGTCCTTCCATGAACAAATGCTTTCCCTCGACCTCTCCTGACTCTGGTATCCCCTTTTGCATTAGCAATGACGACTACAACAGAGGCTTCCTCTGCCCCATCCTGGACAAGCCCTGGCCATGGCGTTTCTGCCAAAGAGGAGTTTTTCTGTCTGGTATCGCGTAAAGAATTCCACCAACTTATCTTAATATATGATAATTTGCTCTTACATCCTCAGAAAGACCTTCTAAAGTATAACCACCATCTTCTAATAGTTTCCTGGTCAAGAAACTTATGCATTTTTTGCCTCAGTTTTTATATCTGTTGAATGAGGAAATTGAACTTGATTACATCTAAAGAACTAAATTTCTGTATTACTTTTTCCCCTACTTATAGGCATTCTACTGTTTAAAATAAGTTTTTGCTACCAGCAGCAAGAAAAATGCTACACCAGTGGTTATCATGTCATTTAAGTAATTTCTTATCTTAGGTATGTGGTAAATATCTCAAAAACAAAGAGGCTGTTATACAATTTACCTCCTAATTCAAATTTGATGGTAAAAATATCACAAGCAAAGGGATGGTATAATACTTCAAGCAAATGCTACAGTCATTAGGATTCATTAGGATAAAATAGAATCACACAAATAAAACTCCATAGTAAAGCCACCATTTAGCTCTTATCTTCATAGTATACATTGGAATATGTTTAATAATTTGAAGAAGAGGGACTATACAAATACCAGTCTATGTTTTAAACTAAATGCTATCTGTGCTTTCTATTTAGAGTTACTTTTTAACATCACCAGCTTATTCTGTCAGTTGAATGAAAGACATTATCAACTTGGCTTGTGCTCAGCAGCCCAAAGCATGTGCAAATATGAAGACCAAACACAGAACAAGATAGTGATCCAAATAAAACTAACAATTTTGTTTCCTCTTTTATTACATTTTAGATTTTCAAACAAATCTTGAAAGTAAATATTATATTTGCTTTTGCATGCTTATACTAGGAAGTGTTGAGTCTACAGAAAAAAACAGTGGAAGAAGGGAAAAGGTGCTGGCACTGTAATTCAGAACCTAAATCAAATTCTACCTTTTAGAAGGGGGAGAATTCATTTTAATTACCAATTCACTAAACTTGTATTGAGTATTCAGTGTAAGTCCAACACCGCTCATGGTCTAGAAAGAGATAAATATGTTGTAATGCCCCTTTCACCTCACCCAAGGAGTTCATATTCTGTGACAGAAAATGACTCCCCCAGAATCCATTTTCTCCCCCTTCCTTTCAATAATTAAACTTTCAATGTTCACTAGTATTCCATCCAGCTTGACACCACAGTGAGTTGTGTCCATGTGATTAAGGCTGGACCAATGAGACAATAGAGAAAATGTAGTCAATGTTTAGGTCATTTCCATAAAGACAAGGCCACTTGCTCTAGATTCCCTTTCCAATTGGCTGGAAAATAATGACTGACACAGTCCCATAGACCCAATCATGGAGGCCTCAAGTTCAGAAGGATGCCAGAGCCTCCACCTGGGTCCCTGGATGACCTCATGGAGCACAGCCTACCTGTTCTGGATTGTTACATAAAGCAGAAATCATCTTCTGTCTTATAATACTATCTATAGACTAAAATTCTACCAAAATATTGTCACATGCCAGGGATTCCCAATAAAGTAGCCTTCCCTTGATCTTATACCCTCCATCAGCTACTACCATATTTCTCTGCTTTCTACTCATAACTTATCAGAAAAATTTTTGTTGATCTTTACTGTCTTCTACATCCCATTTCCCTACAGCTGCTCCAGACTGACTCCACTGGGGCAGCCCGTGTGGACAAAGCAATGGACCAGCCACTCTTGTCTGTTCTCATCTCCTCTGACCTGTTAGCAGCCCCAGCCCACGGGATAAGACTGTCCTTGTCAACCTTTTTCCCTCTGGGGATTCAGAGCACACCACACTCTCCTGCTCATCTCCTCTGGTTCCTCTTTCTCATTTTCTTTTACAGGTTCCTCCCTATTCAACCTCTTGATATGGGAAGTTAAGGAAAATTCTAGGCCCTCTTTTGTCTTTACATTTTCTCCCCAGCTGATGATATCCTTTCCTAGGGATTTAAATACTTCTTAGAATCCAACAGCTCACATATTCACATCTCTACTCCAAACCTCGGTTCTGAGCTTTAAAATTCAACTGCCCACTTGATGTTCTTCACTGACACCTCCCTGGATTTTCTCTCCCAAGTCTGTTCCTCCTCCCCTCATCTTCCTCACACCTCAATAAATGGCAATGCCTTTCCTTCCAGCCAGAATTCCAGAGGTCACCCTGACACCTTCCTTTACTTTATCTTATCTAATATATACACAACAAAGTTTTACAAACTATTCAGTCTTGCAAATACATATATATAAAAATATGTATTTCCAAAATATATCTTGAATTGGTCCCTGCCACTACATAAGCCATCCTGACTCCTTTGATAACTTTTTCCCTGTCTCTATTCCAGCCCACCTCTGTCTATTCTGTCTGATATTTATAAAACACAAATCTAGTCAGATCACGCTAATAGCTTCCCAATGTGCTGAAAGTAAAATCTAAACTCTTAATTACCAAGCACAAGCACGAGGCCTCAACACCCCCTCCCGCCAGTGGCACTGTCCCCCACTATGATCCAGCCACAGGTCTCCGTTCACTTTCTAATCCGCATCCAGGTCTCTTCCTCTGGGTTGTTTTCAAACAAGCTGTTTTCTGCAAGAACACTTTTTCTTCTGCTCTTCAAGTGGCTAATTCCCATGCTTCAAGTATTCGCTGAGAAAGCCTTTCTCTTTTTACATAGTTATTCTAACTATTGCTTATTGTTTCTTCCCAATAATTTATCAAATCTTATGATTATTCAACCATCTCCCAACCTCTTCTCCATATATTCATTGGTGGGACTCGAGTCTTTATATCCAATATACCCTGTATCAACATAGTACCGAGAACATAGTAGGTATTTCAATAACTAGATGAGTGACTAAATAATAAAAAGAACTCCATTTATTGTCATATCTATGTATTTAAAAGTATAATAAATCATCCTTACAATCCTTAACCATAGTAAAATCTCTCATATGAGTAAAGAGTAGGTATTTCTATGTTTTATAGAAAACAGAACCCAGTTACAATTTTCAGAACTGAACTCTCCCAACAAGGTAAGAGACATGATTGGTCTGATCATGGTGTAATGCTTTTACCAGTACACAAAAGGGTTTCCCAAAAACTCAAAAAGAAAATATGTAGGTGGTTTAGAGAATTTGTATAAAAGAGCAACCAAATACTATCATAAATTTAAGAAATAAATGACTACTAGGAAAAGCATATTTTAAAAAGATGCTTAACTTTCCCAGAAATGGCACTTCTTGCATATAAATCATATCACTAAATAAATGTTGGTAACTTCAATATCCTGTATTTTCTATGAATATTGTATTAAGGATTTTCTGTTATTACCTGTTTCAGCACATAATAGCTATAACGTAATAATTAGATGTCAAAACTTCTACAGAAGTAGAACCAGAATCATATCTCAAAATATGAAAATTTCAGTTCATTTCATGTTAACCTGTAAATAATCTTCATAGATAAAATACATGAAGAAAATCAGCAGCAAATAAGTTGCCATGTGTGATCCTGGGGGGCTAAACTTTTTTAGTCTTTTACTTCCTCCTCCATAAAACAAGGGGTTCACACTAGAGTTCAGTGCTGACCCAATGAACAGGGTTAATGGGAGGGGAGAGTGGGGAGGGGGAGCAAAAGGCAGCGGACGTGGAGATTCTGCCAAGAATTTTCAGCTTAAGGCAGTGAGTTTGTTACCTTCCCTCATCTTTCAACGTCCTCACTTTTTACACAAATGTAATTGTAGTCATTCATCTACCATCAATATCCTCTAAATTTTAAAATGTAAAGTATGTTAAAACAGGAATCTTTCTAAACACATGATATGAGCCCCTGGACTCACTACATGAAATAGAAGGGAACAAATCAGTAAAGTGATCTCCTAATTTTGAGTTTTGGAGTTATTATTCTGGTTGTGAAACCATTTTATGTTTGCATTTGCCTTTAAATCCATGAGTTATCCCTAAGGCAGAGAATCAGTTACAAAAGCTGAATAAAAATGGCAAAAGGGATGGAGCCCAGCAACCACCTATCAATTATCTAAATAATAAATAACCTACAATTATTTTCAAAGTATGAATATACCTGTCACATATCACATAAATCACAGAACTTCAAACTGCAAATAAAATCCTATGTTCTTGTCAAATCTTTCCTAGATAAATTTTTTCTGGCACTGTATGCCTAATTCAATGAATGGAAATATTGCTTTTTTTGTCTAATTTTAATACAATAAAACTTTTATTGCTGTTGAGAGATAATGAAGCAATAAACCTGAACAATGAAAGGCTGTTTAACTCTGGAATCTCAATATAATCAATAATTAATTCCACATATCTGAAAGGCCATAAGTTCACACTGTACCTGTGAAT